AGGGGAAGGGCAGAGAATTTCTACTTGAAAGGTCAGAGAGGATCTTGGACCATTGGGGTCCCTTCCACCACACCTTGGGCATAGGGATATTGCCGATCCCCTGACACTCTCTTTTTGCTCCCTCTGGCTTCCCTTCACCTTCCTCCTCTCCTGGTTGGAGACTGAGGGGAAAGGCTGCTCTGGTCCTTGTTGGCAGCTTGATTCCCATCAGCTGTGCCTAAGAGGATTGTTCCAGAGAATTAAGTCCTTTGCCACAAGTGTTTGTCAGGCATTCACACTGGCTCAAGGCATTCACACTGCGATGCTCAAGGACATGGGGCCGGTCAGAGTCACCTCGTGGCCAGAGCCAGGGGCACATGTGCATGTCTAGGCAAGGGAACTGCAAATTTTTATCGGGATGGAAGTGTGGGCAAAGACTGCCATTGTGGGGGCAGATTTCAGTTTAGAGAAGATGTTGCTGCATTCTGGAGTAGGCTTCCAATGTTCTGGGCAGCCAGATAACCCAGGGTGAAGTCCATAGCACCTGTGCTTCTGGGAGAGGGGTACCTGGGTGTTCTGATGCACCTGGGCCTGGGCTCCCACCCTGTGGGCACATAGAGCTGTGTCACCCTCTCCCATAGCCAGAGACCAGGGCCTTGCCAGTTGCTTGATGAAATGGTGATGGTGGTGGTGGCTGCAGTGGTGGCAGCCGTGGCTAAGTAACTTGTGTTTGAGACTTTGTCCTCTGCAGATAGTGAGGATTTGCTCTTGAGCTCTTCTTGCTGAGGGTTTAAGTTACTGAAACAAACCAAGGTGTACCAGGTAGCCCTGGGACTGAGACCCTGAGGCCTGGAAGGGCCGTGATGTCTCCAAGATAAACATCATTATAAGGGTGAGAGGAGATGAAAGCAGGCTTGCCCAGCTGTCCAAGAGGACCTGCCACTGTGTGAGTCCTGCCACACCCACCTCTTCTCTAGGTGCCAGGAAGCTGCCAGTTCAGAGAGGCAGAGTCAGGCCAGGTTTGTGGCTGTGCTTTGTCCCTCACAGGCCCTGTTTGGAGGAGGCGAGTCTTCCCCTTGGAGATAGCCATGGGCAATGGCTTCAGGGCAGCCCTGGTCCGAAAGGGGACATGGGAAGCCTCCCTTTCCTGTTTCCCAACCTTCACAGTGATTCATTCGCTGAAGGCAGCAACCCAAGGTGCCAGAGGTGGCTTGGTCTTCACATGCCTCCCAGCCAGGGCCAGTCACAAGAGAAGCCTTAAACTTGGCCAAATCTAACCGCCAAGATGTTGCAAGGAACAAGTGAGCCCTTTGACAAGAAAGTGCTAAAAAACGGAATCATTAAAAGTAGATAATTTAAAAGCCAGGGCCTAAAGATTGCTTGGTTTGATGTTGAGGCCCCAAGGGTGGTCTAAAGACTGGTCCTCTCCCTCCCTTGCAGAGGTGGTCCCCCAGGGCCAATACTCTAAGAACAGGTAGCCTCCTGCAGGGTTAGGTTTGGGGGGGCAAACAAGACCTGCTGAGCAGAGATGAGGAATAGGAGAGAGGTTTGTGTGGGGTGGGGAGAAGGGATGGAAAGAGAAATGGGCTATAACTTCTCCTGGAGTGAGGTGGATGGGAGAGGGCCCAATGGTATGTGCCGGGGAGGGAGGCCATGGGTCAAAGGATCACATCGGGGGTAGAAATCTTATATATTGCCTGATGAGGGCTGTGCAGGGCAACAGAGTTGGCCTAGGAGGTCAGAGAGGTAGGCTTCAGGCCTTGCCCTGCCCCTCAGAGGGCCTTAGGCTGCCCAGAGTCCCTTGAGCATCATCAGGGACATGGGCACTCAGACTCTAGGTCTTGCTGTTATTAGTATTAACTCTTATCACTGTGGACCCTTCTGCAGCATCTCGCCTCTGCTGGTTCCCTGAGCAGGGCCATCTGTGGCACCCTGCCTAAAGGTTTCTCAAGCTCTGCCCTTGACCTCTGGGGGTGCTGGGTAACTGTGGTGAGGCTCTCTCAGGCACTGCAGGAGTTCAGCACACCCCTGTCCTCTACCCCTTAGATGCCAGTAGCACCCCTGTCACAGCAGCTAAAAACATCTCAGCCTTTGACAGAGTTGCCCCTGTTGAGAATCTCTCAGCTGATGAGTGGAGCCTCGTGACAGGAAGTTGCTGGACTGATGGGATTTCGAGTGGGGCACTTCGTCTCTCACCACATCCTTGCCTATTGTGATGGGAACCAGCACTCTGGGCCGACAGATCCAGAGAACTGTTTTAACTCCTGGTGGGGCCCCTGACTTTCCCACCAGGAGAGCAGAAGGAGGGATGGTGCATGCAGGGGAGGTGATGGGACACTTTACTCTGAGAACAGCTGGCTTCATCGGGTGTGGGAAAATGATACCCACCTATCATATGAAATAATCCTAAATGCTTCCTTGGTGAATCTCCTTCCTCGCAGCCATTACTGATAGTCTCTGCTCCTGCTGCCTTTCTCTCCAGGGCGGCTATTCATTTCATGCCCTTTTTTCCATTCTTATCATCACACCTGCCCCTAGCCCTCCTTGCTTCTTACTGGGGGCAACGGCAATGGCTCCCTATAGCTTACTCTATCTCTACTCTCTCCTCCATCCTCCTGCCCCTGATCTGTCCACCATATTGCCGTGTTTTCTTAGAAACAAATCTTTGTGTCACAGTCTATCTAAAACATTTCAATGGCTCCCTTGAGCCTCAGGATAAAGGTTAAACTCTTTAGTCTGCCCACGAGGTCTCCTCACTCACAGCCTTATCCTTGGAATTCCTCTCCTTAAATTCATTACATTTTCGCCCCACAGCCTCGCCGTGCTGTTTCATGATTTCATACCTTTGCACATTCTATTTCCTCTGCCTAGAGGTTTTTTTTTGTGTGTGTGCTTTGGTTGATTGGTTGAACTCCTATTCACTCTTCAAAACCCAGTTTAGGAACCATCTCCTTTGTGAAACTTTCCCTAACCCAGTGAATTGTTTCCCTTCCTGATCTTTACCTCACTGAAGTTCTGTTGTTTGTCCCTCCTGCTAGACTAAGAATACCTGGAGGGAGGTTCCGTGAGCTCAGGGATGGTCAGCATATATGGCATCGCCCATCAATGTTGGTTGAGTAGAATTTAGAGTCAGGAGATTCAGTTGTTAGGATGGCAGAAACCTCTAATCAGATAGGTCTTGGCTTGCTGGGAAGAAAACCTGTCTTTCTTACTATGGGAGCTTGTGGGACACCCAAGTGCAAACCAACCCAGAAAGACCCACAAGCTATCTAGGCAGCAATATCTGCTTCCAAAAGTGGAATTCTAGAACTTTGACATTGAAAGGGGACCCTGAGATCCACTGTTCTTGTTTACAGGCAAGGAAACTGAGGCCCTAAGAATTGAGGCCCTCTCCTAGTACTTCCTGGATGTACTAACTGGAAGATCAGGGACTGTGCTACCTTGCTAAGCAAGCTGACCCCTCAGGTGCAGTCCTGTCCAATGAACTGAGGGGTGGGCTCAGTCTCTGCCCCTCATTTCCTGGTGCTTACCTGCACCACAGGGGAACACAGAGCACCCCCAAGGGAGTCACGGTGAATGTCCACAGAGAGCACACAAGGTAGAAGTTTGCAAAGGCAAGTCCCCCTCCTGCTCGGCAAGGGGGGGTGCCAGCACTGAGGCTATGCAGTTCAGAATCAGGAAGTTTGTCAGAGGCGAGGAGCCAAGATTTACAACAGGAACTGCTGTTTCCTGAGAACACCACGTTCCCGGAGGCCTCCCCCCTCTCTCTTCAGAGTCCCAGCCACCCCCCTCCCGCACCCACACGGAGTCAGACTCAAGTTCAGTCTCTGCTTCCAAATCTGCATCCCAGGCTTCAGCCTCCCTCCTGAGGACCCACCCCATATCCCCACTGGTCTGCTAAACTTTGGTCTTGTCCATCACATCCTCGCCCCAAATACATGAGATCTGAAACTAGGCTCTGGTCTTCTGTGTGACACCCGGGCAGTTTGTCAAATCTGCCTTGGGCTACAGGACAGGAAAGTGCCACAGACTACTCTAGATGTCATGGTGCAGCTGAGATGGCTCTAAGATGGACCCAAAGGATTCATCTCTCCCTAACTTCCTACCCCCTACAACAAAAATATAGGTAAAGCAAATTAATAGGATACTTTATTTACTGCTATCTGGGGCTTTGACCTCAAACCTAGGAAACAGAATCGAACCACCTTTTTCCGCAGCTGGTTAGGCTCCAGAGCTTTGGACCGCAGGGCCTCTCCCTGTCAGGTCCACACCCAATTCTCAGGCGAACAGAGGCCAGCACCAGCAAGCAGAGGGAGCCTGGAAGTGTGGACCTGCATGGTCAGGCGGCCTGCTGCGAACAGACCCAGGCTCGCCTTGTCTGAATGGAGTGAGCCCCAGCGGTGCAGATGAAGGCACAAGGAAGGGGTGTTCAGCGTGACTGGCAACAAGTGGGGGAGGGACACACACAGAGAAATGTCTGTTCTAAGGGAGACTGATCTCTGGGACTTCCTTCTCTGGACAGCACCACGAGGGCTGGGGAGACAGCTGCTGCTCCAGGACAGAGACTAAGCCACTCGCCCACTGGCCCAGTAGACATCCTTGAATTGGCTCAGGAGGGCAGTGGGAAGGGACAGAGAGAACGTTTTTCCTCTGGAGGGCAATCAGTGCCCTGACATGCCTGATTTTATTTATTTATTTATTTTTTTTTTTATAGTTTTTTTTTTTTTATATAGAGGCATGTTTTCTTTCTTTCTTTCTTTATTTGTTTGTTTTTTTTTGTTTATACATGCACTGGGTACAGTCAGAAGCGCGGGAGGGTGAGAGAATTCACCAGAGCCAGAGCGGGGAGCAGAGCAGGCAGAAGGACCGAAGTACACTGCTGAGGGGAGCAGCGGGCGGCAGGGGAGGTCTGCGCGCCATGTGGGATCCTCCTCCGGTGGCCGGGGAGCAGCCGGGGATCGAACCGGCGCCGCAGAGGCCGCGGGCAGCTTCGCAACCCAGCGCTCAACCGCTGCGCCACCGGGGAGGCCCTGCCTGATTTTTTTTAAATCAAGTAACATTGCATATGATATTATGTAAGTTTCAGGTGGGATTTTTCTTCCCAGATTGCTTCCAGGAGGGGATCCTGCGGCATTTCTCTTTTTACTAGGTTTCCTAGGATCACGCTGGAGAATCAGGTAGCAGAAACAAAAGCCACAGACCCGGGAGGACACCAGCGTTCCACAGCGCCATCTTCTTGGACGAGTCCCAGGACGTCCGGTGACCCCTGGAGTCGTGGGCCTGTGTCTTGCTTGGGTGACAGCCTTTCCCACCTCTCAGGTTTCTCCAATTTCCTGAAGTTCTTCAAAAATCTTTCCCAGATGAAATGGATTTGCAAGGCAGTCGATGTAGTGGAAAAAGTGTCAACCCTGGACTCAGCTGGATCTGGGAGGCAAGCTCCATTTTCCTACTTCCTGCTGTGAGACTTTGGACATATTCCTGGCTCCGTGGGCCTGGGTTTGCTCACATGGAGATGAGGCTGATGTCTTCCGGGGCAGTGGTGAAGATGACTGGGGAACCAGATGCAGATCACCAGGGTTGTGCCGGGTGGTATTCAATGCTCGGTGTTAAATAAACACACACAAATAATAGTCACAATAAAAACTATGATTCAGAGAGCACTTACTAATGCCAGACACACCACTAACGGCTTCGTTTAATGCCCAGAACAGTTCTATTGCCACAGGTGCTACCAGGACCCCTCTTTGACAGAAGGGAAGAGAGACACAAAGAGATGAGGAGCTTGTTCAAGAAGTAGAGCCAGAATTTGAACCCAGAGACCAGGACACTAGAGTGGTCCATTTAGGAAGACACAGCAAAAAGGGGTAGATAAGAAGCTGGGGTACCTATCAAAGTTAAGGTCTGTCTGTTCTTAAAGAGAGGAGCCCTCTCAACATGTAATAAAGCTTTTATTGGGGACTTAGCCCATTCCCTTGATGGGACAGCATTCTCCTAATCTTCCCCGGTGGTTTTTGGGTGGGGAGAGTAAGTAGCTCTCCTGTTTTTCAGGATCTTTGTTGAAAGAGAACAGCCAACTTCTCCAGCAACCCTGAGCTGTCCCAGGCAGCCCAGACCCAGCCAATGGGAGGCGGGTGGGTGGGGGCAGGGCTGGCATCAAGGAAGGTGGAGGAAAGGTTCCTCATTTTAACTATTTGAGTGAGAAGCTGGGATGGCAGTGCTGTGGATTTGCAAAAGATATCTGTTGGCCCACTGACAATGTGAGAGAAATCTTCTAATTGTAGCCATAAGTCAAATATAGGCAGGAGGAAAAGTGTCAGACGTTTGGTGTTATTTTGTACAGAAGGGGTGGAAAATGTGGTTTTGATGTGATAGCTAAGCTGGTTGGATGTAGACAGAGGTGGGACACGGGGATCACATGGAATGAGGGGTGTGTCTCCTGCTCAGGAAGTATTGCTGTGGCCCCCACTTTCAGGATGACAAAAGAGTCAGTTTCCCAGAGAAGGAGGCTCCTTCATCGTGGGGACTCTCCAGGGTGGAACCAAGCCCAGTTTATCCTTAGCACTTTCCTCCCCGCTCTGGATGTGAGTTCCGCCTCTGCTACTCAGGACTGTGTCCTTTGGCAAACCACTTAAAGTGAAATGATATATATTTGGTGCCTGCTACATGCCAAAGCTGTGGGTTTACCTTCTTTCTCACTAGTAAAACCTAATTTTGTTTAAGTATCAACTTCTCCCTAGCCAGTCCAGGTTGCGCCCACCCACAGTCCAAAATGTGGGTCCTGATTGGTTCCAGGTAATCACTGTGGTCCCAATCCTCTTGCCTGTGATTGGCTTAGACATAGGAATGTGACCCAATTCTGGCCAATCAAAAGGGGAAGTCTGTTAGGTATACCTCTAGGAAAGGTATATTAAAGCTTCTGAGTATTATGCCTGAAGCCACTGCAAGCATCTAGCTACTAGCCCAAGGCTCACAACCAAGGAAAGCAGAGCAGAGGTAGAAACAACATGGTTCCTTGGTGATGTCATCAAGCTGCTAGATCCATCACTGCGGCAGCCAGTCTCCCTTGTGATTCTTGCTATGTGAGATTCTTGAGGCCACTTTGTGTTGGGTTTCTCTGAAGGGTATTTGAAAGGGTCCTTCTTGCTTCTCTGAAAAATGAAGTGGCAAAAGTATGTCTTCTTTCCTGTGTTGGAGGGCCCATAGCTCTGTTGGGTCCTCTTTTAGTTTTTTTCACATAGGAACTCACCCCTCAGGTATAAGTACATCCCTCCATGGTAAGAATGGGGGTTCACTTTGCCTCTCCAGTGCTGGATAGGGCTCATTATGGCCCCTGTGTTTTTCTCTCAGGCAGACGTAAAATGATTTGGGATAGTGCCTGTCTGGTGAATGTCCCTCACTGCTTAAGGGTGCCTTGTATCAGTATGTGTTCTTAATTAGAATTATGAGATATTTTATATGCAAACCTATGTTGGGCAATATTGGTGGATAATTAAGCATCCACTGTCTAGTTTTACCTTGAAATGTCTTATGCTTGGTGATGTGTATGAGATAAAGACCTAAAACCTCACCGCTGCCTGTTGAAGGTATCTGACTTTCAAGAGATAATAGAGGAATCCCATGTGGGCATGGGATTCCTTCTTGGTTCTTGGCCTGGAGAGGAACTGGTCAGTGTGGGACTCTCAACTCTGTCAGGTGTCAAGAAGAGGAATATAAAGGCCTACATCCCCACCCCCACATACACATTTCCAAGCCTCAGTGCCTGGGGCCTTTGAAATACTTATCCCTTGGGTATTTCTGAGGTGCTGTGCCAGGCAGTGGTCAGGGAGGAGTCCATGACTGCTTGAGGGAACTCCCAGGCTGCATCTCCTATTTAACTAATGTGCCCTAAAGAAGAAAAAGGTCTGTTTATTATCCTGGGGGTCAAGTGCTCAAGTCAGACCACCCCCAGGGAGACAGGGAGATGAGAAAAGGACTCTGGCCCTACTGCCGCCCACAGTGACGACTGTGGAGCTCTGCAAGGTGCAGGCTGAATCTTGCAGTTTGAATTAGGGGCCACCCTAACGGTCTCATCTTAATGTCTTCATGGCTATAAAGGCCATATCTCCATATAGTCACATTCTGAGAGATTCTGGGGTTTAGGACTTTAACATGCCTTTTGGGGGTGGAGGGAGAGCACAATTCAGCCCATAACATTGCTTTATAATCTTTTGAAAATTACTGCTACAAATATAAGGGTTAACTGGAGTGCTGTATTAACAAGCTCACCTCAGTCTTGACAATGGCAGTCCTGGAATAGAGAAGAAAGCCCAGAAGGAAAATGTGAAGTAGGTTAAAGAAGATTCTGGTAAGGTCTTTAGTTTCAGGTTGCATTTTGAAGACTACAGCCAAACAAGTTGGGGATATTTGGTACATGTAAATCTTTTGTGGAGAAATTAATGTAGAAAGTCCTTGTCCTCTCCTAGACTGTTCCGTACTATTCTTTTTAAAGAATGGATCCTGAACTAATGATCAGTTATGTTTTAGATTTCCCACTTAACCTTCAACCTAACATCATCGTGTTCAGGTGACACAGGGACAGCTGGGATGCAAATAATTGGGCTCAGATTCACCCTTCCAGTCTCTTTAGAACAAAGGAATGTGAAGAAGGTCCTCTTAACCCTGCCATTTTCATGCCCATGTTGCCTAAGACAGGTTTTCTCAGTGCCAACAGAACATTGTGGGCTCACAATCACTCATCAGCTGTAACCAACTTCCTTTCCCCTACCCTATCCCCTCCCTCTCCCTGAAAGGTCAGCAAGGAGCCAGGGAAGACAGACTGATGGGGCTGAAGTGGCTGCCAGAGGCAAACTGGCCTGGAGCTGCAGCAAGGGAAGTGTCCTCTTTTTGTCAACAGGGACAACCCCTCCAGAGAGATGGAGAGAAAAGGTGGGGAGTGGACCAAGATTGGAGGCAGTGACTGGTTTGGGTGCTCAGTTCAAGCATTTCCAGGGTGCCTCAGCCGAGTGGAGCACAAAGCTGGCCCTCCTCAGCCTTGTCCCACTGCAGTCATGCTTCAACCCTTGGATGGAAAAGCTGACTGGCCGTGGGTCCTCGGGGACAGAATTTTAAGTCACCTGGCAGATCTTGTCACCTATGGGACTGACCTGGTGGTATTAATAAAGAATCCCATAAGAATAATAACAACAGCAGTAATGATAATGAGAACAATAACAGTGACAAAATGATAATAACTCATGCCTTATTCATTCATCACATTCCTTGAGTTTCTCCTAGGAGCCAGGCACTGCCTAGGGACCCGGCATACAAGTAGGCAAGGATCTGCTCTCAGGGCATTGACAGACAGGTGTGGAATCAAGTGATATCACCTCATTTAACCCTCACAACCAATCTATGTGGCTAGTGCTTTGATCATCCCATTTCATAAATAAAGAAATGGAAGCTCAGAAAGATGAAATCTCTTGCTTTTAGGCAGAAAGATAGCATGTAACTGAAAGTGGAAAGGGAGGGGCCCTGAGTTGTCAACTACCTTTCTTTAGCTCTTGGAAGGTAGGCTAAATTCTGACACAGATGTGGGGATGTGCTTGTGAATGGGCCGGTGATGGTCAGGCAGATTCACCCATTAAGCAGCCACATGCAGAAAGCCAGGGCCAGCCTTTAGGAATATGTGGGTGAGGCCTGTGGGAGGGATTGTGCCAGGGAGCTTCCTGCCTTGAGGCTAAGGATCTGTTGTCAGCACCAGCAAGGGGGCAGGTGAGTAGATCCCTGATGAGTTGTGCGCTGACAAGGGGTTCTCTTCCGGGGGCACTTGCTTTCTGTGGGAGAAGCCTAAAGACCTTATCTACCTTGCAGGTCAAGGATATTTTGGTGTGAGCTAAATTCTGGGTGTAGGAGTGGGCAGTCCATTTGGGGCAGGAGGGAGCAGCCTGGTGGGGCAGAGTCCACATGCATCAGGGAGAAGGAGAGGAATGATGGGACAAGGTTGGGCATGACCTTAAGTGCAGCATGTGGCCTGTGATTTTATCCTGTGGCCAAGAGAGCTATAGGTGGTTTAGGCTGGACTGACCTGGTGGGGAGCACTGGCCCTGACTTGGATCCCAGACCTTGATGGGGTGGGAGGGACGGCCTAGTGTTGGGCAGGGGAGATCTGGGCCTACCTGTGGACTGCTGGCTCCCTCTCTCCACCTGGCCCACCTGCCCTGAGCTGTGTCCACTTGTTAGCTCTTTGATGCCACTAATCGGCCTTGGAGGGAACTGTTTTCCTTGTTTTTTATTTGCAACATGACTGTAAAGTAGGAAAGTCTCATGCTTTCTGGACAGCCATATCTGATTTTATCTGGAATTTGAGGGAATGACTAATACCCCTTTGAGAGTCTGCATGGTATCAGCAACTAGAATTATCCACCAGGTATAAATAAAATGGCCCCAGACCCTCCAACCAGCAGGTTTCATCATTGCCTGCACACCACAATCACCTGGAAAACCTACACAAAGACAGATGCCCCCTCCAAAAAGGGTCTGATTTAGTTGGTCTGGGGTGTAACCTGGCAGCAACATTTTACAAAGCCTTCCAGAGGATTTTAGTGTATGCAGAGCTAGGAAGCACGACCCTGCCGCCTTGTGCAGCTTCCAGGCTGCAGTGACAAGGAAGTTGGGGGAAACTCCCCAATCAGAATTCTGGCACTTGCCACATGAGGTGATCTGTGACATGGAATTTTCTTGAAATGTCTTGAGGGGAGAGCATTGGCTTTTCACCGGAACCTTCTGCGGCATTGCCCTCCTGTGATTTTCCATCCGATCCGTCACACCCTTTCTTTCTTGCCCGGATCCTGAGGCAGGTTCCTCACTCCAGTCATCCCCCCCAACCTAATTTTTTGGACAATCATTAAAAAATTTTTTTTTTAATTATCTGAAAAGACATGTGTAACCCACTGGAAATTTCAAGGCAGTGAGTCATCGTGCTCCTGGGCCCCTCCGATTCTTATGTAAGGTTGAGTCACTTTTCGTGAGGTCTGTGCATAGCAGAAAAAAATTGGAAGGCTCTCGAGATAAGTGGTGGGGGTTGGGGGAAGGAGAGGAAGAGAGTACACAATGTCATTTTCAGCTACCAGGGACTGACGGTAACTCTGAATTAACTTCAGAGATTCCTCAGGCCCTGCACTTGCTCTCCATTTCTCTCCATTTCTCTCTGCCCCATTTTCCATCCACAGGGACACTTTTGCCCCAATGCAGGTGTGAGGATTCCATTGTCCTGCTGCTTGGGCTCAGGCACGGTGGTCCCTGGGTTCCCAAGACAGGCAGGTGGGTCACCCTGCTCTGCTCCCCAGAGAGCACATCCTGGGGCTAGGGTTGGGGGCCCCTGAGAGACAGAGCCGTAAGACATACCTGGGCCCAGCTTCCAGGTCTGGGTTCTGTTTATTTCTGGTTCTTTCAGGAAAACACGGATGCTGTTGAGAAGGGGCCAGGAGACGGATGAATTACAGGCACTCAGGGAACAAAATAGGAGAGCCTCTTCCCTGGAGAAGGAGGTTGCTCTTTGAGAGTTTGACTAGAAGATGATCACACAGATGTCAGAGTTGACGGAGGCAAAGTCATCTGAGAAAGAGAACAGGCCCTAGATCAATAAGCTGGATCAACAAGCAGGAAAAGACATCTGTCAAAAGGTGCTAGGTGTGCTGTGGCGGTGGGGGACAGGTGGGAAACAGCCAGACCCAGGGCACAGCCACAGCCCATCTTCTCAGGAGGTGGATGCCTCAGAGTGCTGCTGCCTGAAATTTTCAATCCCCCTTACTCAGTGGGGAGCATACCTGTTTTCTGACTCCAGGCTTCTCAGCTCTGCCTTGCTAAGAACTGTGTCCAGGCCAAGGGAGACGCTACAGGCTAGAAGAATGCTGGTGTTGCTTTTCTTGTGAAGGAACAAATCTCCCTGATTTGCCACAAAGTCCTGTGAGTCGGCCTCACATGACTCCCTCTCTCTATCATCAGGACAGATGAAAGACAATCAGGAGAGCCCCTGGAAGCATCTGGAAGCTTGGAAGCCATCTGGTAATGCCACCCCTTGGGCTCCCACTGTCCTCCCCAGTGTGTCTCCAGCATTGCCACAGCATCGCCTCATCCTTTTCATCCCTTTTCTTCTGACTTTTGAGCTGCACTGTCCAATTTTGAGCTGCCACTGCCAGTGGGTAGCCACTGGCCACATGTGGTTATGGTTGTGGAGCACTTTATTTTTTTTATTTTATTTTATATAATTCTTATATCATTTTTCATTTTTGCACAATGTATGCATTTTCATTTTGGTTATATTCCCTATGCAATTCCCACTCCCCTTATTTTGACCCTAATCCCTTCTCTCCTCCTCCCCCGCCTCCCTGTAGTGTGTCTCTGGTTTCTAGTTGCTTGTTGATTTTGATTTTTTCTTTTTTATAATTAGTCATTTTCCTGGTCCCTTATTTAGGTTTTCTAAATTCCTGCTATGAGTGAGACCATTCGGTATTTTTCTTTTTCTTTCTGGGCTTATTTTGCTGAGCATGATCCCTTCCAGCTCCATCCATGGTGCTGCAAATTGCATGAATTTATCTTTTTTGATTGCTGAGTAATATTCCATGGTGTATATGTACCACATCTTCTTGATCCAGTCATCTATTTTTGGGCTTTTGGGTTGTTTCTATAGCTTAGCTATTGTAAACAGTGCTGCTCTAAACATAGGGGTGCAGGTGCCCTTTTGAATTAATGTTTCTGTGTCCTTTGGGTAAATGCCTAGGAGTGAAATTGCTGGATCATATGGAAGCTCTATCTTTAGTAGGTTGAGGAATCTCCACACAGCTCTCCATAGTGGTTGGACCAGTTTGCACTCCCACCAGCAGTGCAGGAGAGTTCCTTTTTCTCCACATCCTCACCAACCTTTGTTGTTGCTAGTTGTTTTAGTATGTGCCATTCTCGCTGGTGTAAGACAGTATCTCGTTGTAGTTTTGATTTGCATTTCCCTGATTAGAAGTGATGTTGAACATTTTTTCATATGCCTGTTGGCCATTTGCATTTCCTCTTCAGAGAAGTTTCTTTTTAGCTCTTCTGCCCATTTTTTGACTGGATTATTTTCTTTGTTTTTGTTGAGTCTCATCAGCTCTTTATAGATTTTTGTCATCAGTCCTTTATCATTAGTGTTGTGTGCAAAAATATTCTCCCAGTTGGTGGGGTTTCTCTTTGTATTGGTTATTGTCTCTTTTGCTGTGCAGAAGCTCTTTAATTTGATGTAGTCCCTGCTGTTTATCTTTGCCTTCACTATCACTGCTTTGGGTGATGTGTCTGTAAAGATGTTTTTGAGGTGCATGTAATCTAGTGTTTCGCCTTTATTTCCTTCTAAATATTTTATGGTTTCAGGTCTTATGTCTAGTTCTTTAATCCATTTTGAGTTGGTTTTTGTGTATGGTGTGAGGTAGTGGTCAAGCTTCATTCTTTTGCATGTAGCGACCCAGTTTTCCCAGCACCTTTTATTGAACAAACTTTCTTTGCTCCATTGCATATTCTTTGCTCCTTTGTCAAAGATTAGTTGACTGTAAATCTGTGGATTTATTTCTGGATTTTCTATTCAGTTCCATGGGTCCATGTGTCTGTTCTTGTTCCAATACCATGCAGTTTTGATGATTATGGCTTTGTAGTATACTTTGAAGTCTGGGAGTGTGATACCGCCATTCCCTTCTTTTTTTTTTTCAGGAGAGCTTTGGCTATTCGGGGTTTTTGGTGTCTCCATATGAATTTCATCAATATTTGTTCTATTTCTTTGAAGAATGTCATTGAAATTTATTGGAATAGCATTGAATCTGTAAATTGCTTTCAGTAGAATGGCCATTTTGATAATGTAATTCTTCTAATCCATGAAAAGGGGATGTCTTTCCATTTCTTTGTGTCTTCTTCTATTTCTTTTAACAGTGTTTTATAGTTTTCTTTGTATAAGTCCTTTACCTCTTTTGTTAGGTTTATTCCACAAGTATTTGATTTTTTTGTTTCAATAATAAAAGGGATGGTTTTTTTAATTTCTTCTTCAGATTTATTGTTTGTGTATAGGAAAGCTCCTAATTTTTGTGTGTTGATTTTTATATCCTGCCACTTTACTAAACTGATTGTAAATAGCTCTGGAAGAAGGACTCGCTGTATTACTCCCTCTGGAGTGAGCTGGGTGTTGATCTGGAACAGATCAATTAGAACAGAACTAATTAGTTTAATTAGTTTTTCAGTGGAGTTTTTGGGGTTCTCTATATATATTATCATATGTGGAGCACTTTAAAGTTGGTGAGTGTGAATTGAGATGTGCTGCAAGGGTCAAACCCATGTGGGGTTTTGAGACTTGGTATGTCAATGAGAATGTGAAATATCTCATTATTAACTTTCTATATTGCTTGTATGTTGATAGGATGGTATTTTGAATACATTGAGTTAAATAAAATATGTCATTAAAATGAATCTCATCTGTTTCTTTTTAGAAATGTAGCCACTCCTGCTGGAAGCAGCTTGAGTTCCTTTTCACAGGTCAAGGAAGACATCTCCTGACCTCTTACCATCCCATCGAGGGCCTTCCATTCTCCTTCAGACATAAACTCATGCTGAGCTGTTGACACCCCAAGAAGCACCAAAATGAAGCTAAAACTCCAAGACAACAGAAGAACAGACAATCTCTGGGGTCAAAAATTAGACGGCATGGACCTTGGTGATGGGTAAAGTTGAATTTGACATTTTCAAGTAGTGTCTCTTGAAAGTTCATGTCTACCTGCCTGGAACCTTAGAATGTGGCCTTAACTTAGAAACAGAATTTTGCAGGTATCATTGGTTAAGTTAAGATGAAATGTTACTGGGCAGGGTGGGCCCTAAACCCAAGGACTGGAATCCTGGCAAGAAGGCCTCAGGAAGATTCAGAGACACAGAGAGAGGAAGACCTTGTGGTGGGGAGGGGAGATGAGAGGGAGGCAGCTACATGCCAAGGGACGCCAAGGGTTTCTAGAGACCAACAGAAGCTGGGACGAGGCAAAGAGGGATTCTTCCCTAGGACCTAAGAGGGAGTATGCCCTGCCCACACCTGATGTGGACTTCCAGACTCCACAACTGTGAGAGAAGGCGTTTCTATTTTAAGCCACCCAGTTTGTGGTAAATTTGTTATGGCAACCCTAGTGTGAAAGAAAGTGTAAAAATAGCTCATCGATATAATTTTTTAATGTTAGTTAGAGGTTGGAATGATCGTACTAATTCGGGTTCATGTACATGGATTGAGTTAAATAAAATCTATCAATAAAACAGATTTTGCGTGTTTCTTTTTACTTCTATTTTTTAATGTGGCCACTAGAAAACAATGAATCTCATACAATGACTCCCATTATGGCTCGCCTTGTGATTTCTAATGGCTAATCAACGCTGAACCAGAGTGAATAGTGTGAGTCCCTGGGGCTCTGCATCTGCAGAAGAGAAAGCGGGGAAGCTTTTGAGCCAGAAGCTACTAAAGTAGGAAATGTTTTTCCAAGGCCCAGCAGAAGCAGCTCCCCGAAACAGGAGGAATTGTCAGCATTTTAGCATGAGCTTAGGCCCGAGGGAGAATAGAAGGCCCTGGGTGGCATGGCAAGAGGTCAGGAGATGTCTTCCTTGACCTGTAGACAAGGAACTCCGTGCTGCTTCTGGTAGGGGGCATGGGTGGGATCCCCCTCTGAAGACAACCACCCCACCCAAAAAGGAGTCCCAGCTCAGGGAAGGCCAGGGCAGGTAGAAGGCAAGAAGGTGGAGGTGGGCTGTCCCTCCCCCTTGGGTAGCTACCAACCCATAGCTAGGCCAAGTTTCTGGATTCCTGCCTGAATGCATGGGCTGGCTGCAGGCAGTGTTGGAATGGGGTCCTGGGGTTACCCAAACAGCTCATTGGCTCTAGGAGATGGGGAGAATGGAGGATGGGGAGAAAGAAGCCACCTGGCCTAGCCAGACTTGACTCATGTTTTCCTTGGCTTGAGCTGAGGTTCCTTTCAAAGTTTTTGCCCAGAGATAGCAGCACTGTCGAGCTGGGAAGGGGCCAGATGCTGTATTTCACTCTCTCCAGGCTGAGATGGAAACAGACCCAGGAATGTGTGGGGTATGAAGCTCTCCCTCAAAATGTGCCATCTTAGTGGGGGTGGTGTGTTTGGCTTTGGAGGTAAGGAGCTCAAGAGGGTAAGGATTTTAATGAGTATTTGACCCAGAACTCAAAAACTATCCCCCTCTTTGCAGGGGTTGCTGGGTTTCAGGGATGCAGGGAAGCAGGTTGGGCTGTAATGGTTACTCTAGATTTCTAGGCATCTGGAGATAACCCTAAAATCACTTTCTGAAGCCCCTGTCTGAGGAGCCCCCACTCTGCGTACTGTAGCGCCTATTATTGTTGTCAGCTTTCCTGAAAACACCCCAGGCAGGTTCAGAGCTCTGCTCAGCCAAATCCCCCGTGCAGACCACCTACCCCTACCCAAGCTCCTCTGAGTTTGCTTCTGCCGGGGTGATACCTGGTTGTCCCTTCTGCCTCTGAAATTCCATCCCTGGGGAATCTGTTCCAGATCAACGCCCAGCTCACTCCAGGGGGAGTAATACAGCGAGTCCTT